GGTTGCATTCCTGGTAGCATATCAGCAATCCATTGCTGTTCTCACATCAGTAATAAACAGAAACTACTGCCTCAGCTCTTGACCACCTATCACTGAGATAGAATACATGGGATTGGATTTGTCTTACTGTAATCAAAAGACACCAGGAACAAGAAAACCGAAAGAAGTTTGTCTAAGAAAATCAGCCTCAATTGACTGATGATATCTTCTATCAGAGCTCAACTGTTTGCTGGAACAAGTGTTCAATAAGGTATACTGTTATACTTGGATTAAAGAAAAAAAGGTCATCTTTTTCTATGCAATTTCAGTAAAAAAATCAGTTTCAAACTACCGAAGATTGAATTTTTCAATCACAGTTGACATTTTTAGTGGTACTTAGAGCTGTTAGAAACTACAGAAAGCTCTGCTGTCTCCATTGATCAATCATTTTCTTCCAGTTTAAGAAAGAAATGGATAAAAAGATTTACTTACTGTACTACTCTGTGTTATAGATCCATGGACTGGTTTTCTGTCATGTGCTTCTTGCAGGAGGGAGCTTGAACATAATCAGTCTTCACAGTGATCCCGCCCAGGAATGCTCTGCAGGACTTCAATTCTTGGATATTTTGTGTTGTACACAGGCAAGTAATACCCCATCAGGGCAACACCCTGCACTGCTCCCGTTTTCACTCTTAGTCTGCTTTACTTTGTCCCTACAACAGGAAAAACGTTTGGTTGGAAGTCTAAGAAAGTGGCAAAAAAATATGTATCAGAAATCTTAAGAGCCATACGCAGGTGAAATCAATCTGTACAGCACCCATACCTACGACTAACATTTGGGTGGTGTCCTGGCTGGGTAGGGTCTCATATCCAACTAAACCCAAAGTGTGAACAGAGCTGCATTTCCCTCATGACATGACACACGTGCATTTTGGTCACATAATGAATGAAGGTCTTCGACAGCCCTGCATTTAAAAGGTTTCTGGAAAAGGGTGTCAGAACAACTCGGCAAATGCTTCTTATGGGCCATATCTGCCCCTGCCTTACATGACCATGCAGCTGCATTCTTTCCTACTGCTTTATATCTGATCCTCAAGCCTGGCTTTTGGCTTCCAGCCCCTTTTTATACTCCTCTATTCAAATCACAGTCAGTTTTTTTGAAAAGCTTTGAGTGATCTTCCCATCTTCCTTCTGTGCCTGTTTCTTTTCTGAGCTTTACTGAGACAAAATACACCTGGCAGTAGCAGCTGGCTACTGAAAGAGAAGCTGTGAACAGAGAAGGCAATTTTGCTCCAAGACTTCCAACTCTTCGGTGTTACCATCTGTTCACCTTCATGCCCTGACCTTGCCTTCAAACCAGAAGGACCAGCAGGAAGGAAATGATGCTGCTAGTTATTCAAGGGAATTGCTCAAGGAAAGTCATCTCTTCAGATGCTCTGTAAATGTATTTGTAGCTAAGTCTCTGGCCACGATATTATATCTTTGCCAAGGATTTTTGTTCAGCCTATTTACCTCCCAGAAGTTATCATAATCCAAAAAAAAAAATTATCTTAAAGCAATTTTTCTTCTGGATAAACATAGAAAAGCAGAGAAGAAGCTGAATTAAGCTAATTCAAAATTAATCAACTCTCTTTACTTGGGATGTTAGTAGATTAAAAAATTTTTCTAAATTTTTATTTGCATGTTTTTCAAGGAGATTCAAAAGCTAATAGAGTAAGAATTCCTTCATGTGGTGTAACTGTGGTATCATGTCTTACTGTATTTGTGTTTCAAATCCATTTATGTGCAGAGAAACAGCTGTGGTTCTAAGGGAGAGGAAAAACCATGTTAAAGTTACTTAATGCTTTTAATCCTAAAGAAGCCAACTGAACTAAAGGTATGGATTCCCAGAGATACAAGCCTACATTGTTAGCCAATGGTAGTTTTGATGATTTCCCCACTCAGCCCAGCTCATGTTATGTCTTTCTAAAGATTCCCTGGACTGAGATGTCTACATTGTGCTGCTCCATGCTGTGTCTGTTTTAGGAATTTTATCTTCTTTCAGAGGTTAAAAACCAGAAAAAACAAAAGGCCATAATGGAAAAGTCAGGATTGCTGGTTTCAGACTTTCCTCTGCTCAAGGCCCCAAGCCTTTCATATAAATGCTTTTCATATAAAAATTGTGTGCTTTGGTTTGTTATTTAAAGTAGAAGTGGATTTTGTTTGTATCTATCATAATTCTTAACACTTCCTAATACTTTTTATTGCATTTCTTCCTTGCACTAATCAAAGATCTGAAAGCATCAAAGCAGCTTGACTTAGAAATGTGTAGTTTTAGTAATTAAATTCTGCACCAAAGAAAAAATTATCAATTTTTTAAAAATCATCCTATCTCCAGTCTAATACTCAGTGCAACATAATCTAGTTTTCTGAGCTGTGTGTTTTATCTTCTCTGAATCAAAAATTTAGCAAGATAGAATGTGAAGTGCAGTATGTGCCATTTCCTTTTATCTTCTTTTTTTCCCCCACCTAACTGGGCAGATCAGAAATGATCTGCCCATTTTTTTATGATGTGAGGGGTGCTCTACATGTGGCCATCTGAGGCAACAGGAGCTTAGCATTTACTGAATGGATTGGCAATGACAACCATAAATATACCTCGCCTGTTTCTCCCCCATTCCCAATTACCAGGCATTATATAACAATCTATAGACAGGGAAAAGGAGTTAGTAAATTTTGCCACAGTAAATGAAGTTAGTTTTACACATACAAATTTCTGTATCAGATATTGCAAGATGGCAACTCTGTCTTGACATTTAACTGTGAGCCAAGAGAAATAATTACAGTCAAATATTTTAATTAGCAAATGTTTAAATAAGTTACGTGTGTAACTTTTCTACTATGATTGGTGTCTCAAATTCTTTGAAAATGACTGAGGCAGTTAAGTGTTTTCCTTCACCCCTGAAAGATCAGGCATCAAATACACTTCTCAAAAACCATTCTGGAGATATTTGCTGAAATACTTACTGCTCGAATGATGCACTCAGCTTACAAATTTCACAATGAGGGCACATATTGAGGGCAAACATACCTCAGCCTCCACACTGGGGAACTCCCAAAGGCCAAACCAGAGTGGGCTACACCTTTCTGCAGAGCCTGGCACAACTGGGGCATGACTGTGCCAATACCAGGCAGAAGGTTTTGTTCTTCAGCATTAAAAGACAGCAATGCTTTCAGGTAGGCTGAGGGAGTGATAAGATCTGCCCAGTGGGCTCCACACTGTGTTTGCTGTTATATAAATAACCAAGAATTAGTATAAAGAAGAGAGCCTAGGAGTTGGCTGTACCATAATTCGTGGGCAGGCACTGGCCACAGTGACTGACTGCCCAAGTGCTCACAGCCTGCTGGAAAGGTTAGGCAAGGCTCACCTGCCCAACCCAGGCACTTCACCAAACATATCTTGTTAGATAACAAGAGTTTTGTATTGGTCTGTTTGTCTAAAAATAACAGAAAGAAATAAAAAGGGGAAAAGGTGGCGGAGACCTTCACCTTTATATCCCTTCACCTTAAAGTGAAGGGATATAAAATATTTCTTTTTCACTTTCATTGACTTTCAGATTTATTAGGTGGATTGCAAGCTCAACAAATATGGTCCAAGAACAGCTGGGATCAATAGAAATATTCAAAGTACTCACAAAAGATTCTGCATTGTGTTTGCAAGTTATCTGTTGTAAGAATCTCATACATCTCATCCCCTCAATGACCCATATTCTTTCCTTGAGGGTTTCACTGTGTTGCAACTGCCTTGCCTTTGATGTTCCCTGGTTCACGTGAACACAATAACACAATGAACTGACTTTTTCTTGTCATAAGCATTCATGAGTCACCCCTTAAAAAAGAAGAAGACAATAGCCATTGACTTGTTCCATTGTCCTCTTCATAGCTGCCTCCCTACATTGTAGGAAGATTGGTGTCACTTTGAACCAAGAACTGGAGCTAAGAATAGTAATAATAAGGACTTTTACTGAGCTGACCAGCAGCCTTGAAAGAGAAATAAATGCTACCACAAGCCTTTTCCAACAAGATTTGGTGGAGCACTTAAGGAAAGAGTGGTTAAAAAAAGAAAATATGAGTAGATGTCAGTTATTAACAATCATTATCTGCATTTACTAAGAGCACTACAATGACTACACTATTCAATCTAAAATTTAGGATTTGATATATAGCCAGAGAAGACATACATAGCCAAGTAATGGTGAGGAAAACCTCAGACCTTAATGCAAATATGACAGTGTAAATACAGCTATGGGGATGTTGATATATTTTCTATTCACTCAACAGTATTTAATAGAGTGGGAAATTATAGAGACACTTAGTGTTTTGCTGCAATTATGTAGGTTGCAGTTGCATGATAATAGAAATTTATTAGAAACCATTAGCTACTCCACATACTTTAGTCATAAATATAAAGTACATCTGAAGAGCTAAACTTTCATCCTCAATCTATGTTATCTCTTAGCCCTCTTTCCCTTCAGGACCCTTCCTAAGAAAATTCCTTTCTAGCTGCATGCAACTACTTTTTATCGCAGTGGCACATGATAAGTCAAAGGCATTGAACTGTGATAGAAGGGTTTTTTCCTTTGAGAAGATTTGAACATGTTCCCAACACCCTCAGCTCCTCTTCATCAGACTTTTGCCCCAGACCCTTTCTCAGCTCGACACACTCCAGCACATCAATGACTTTTTTGCAGTGGGGAGCCCAAAACTGAACCCAGGATTCGAGGTGCCTCACCAGTGCTGATTCCCTGGTTGTCCTGGACATGTTGCACGATGGCACTCAGGATAATCTGCTCCATAACCTTCCCTGGCACCAAGGTCAGGCTGACAGGCCTGGAATTCCCCAGATCATCCTTCCAGCTCTTATCATAGATGGATGTCACATTTGCTCACTTCCAGTCAAGTGGGACCTCCTCAGTCAGCCAGGACTGCTGGGGAATGATGGAAAGTGGCTCAGTGAGTACTTCCACCTGCTCCCTTAATACCCTAGGGTGGATCCCATCCAGGTCCATAGACTTGTGGGTATCCAAGTGGTGCAGCAGGTCCCCTTGGACCATTTCCCCTTGGATCATGGTGGCTTAACTCTGCCCCCTGTCCCTGACTTCCAGCTCAGGAGGGTGGGTAACCTCACGACAACTGGTCTTACCCTTGAAGACTGAGGCAAAAATACATTAAGTACCTCAGCCTTTGTCTCTGTGTTTCCCCCCCACATCCATTAAAGGAATGAGATTCTCCTTAGCCCTCCTTTTGTTGCTAGTGAATTTATAGAAACATTTTTTTGTGTGTTTTACAGCATTAGCCAGAGTAAGTTCTAGTTTGGCTTTGGCCCTTCTAATGTCCTGCCTGTATAACCTCATGGCATCCTTGTAGTCCCTCTGATTTTCCTACTCCTTCTTCCAAAGGTCTTAAATGTTGCAATAAAGGTACCAGCTGTCTGTTGACTCAGGTGGAGCAGACCTGAGAGCAGACACTGAAGTTCATTTTGACCTGTCTTGGCCACAGTCCCAGGCCAGCCTTATCACACACAGTCCAGTGCTAAGGATGAAAATGCCCTTTCCATGTGTCATGGATGTGTTACTGCAGAAATATAACTGTGCTCCTTCCCAAGCCGGCAAAGAATGGGCTCGGCAATTTTGGAAGGATGAGGAGAAAGTAATAGAATGTATTGAAAATTGTCAGGTTGAGAAAAAGTGTAAAGAAGGGAAGGGTAAAGGTACTATTTGTGCTGTCTTAGGAGCGTGTTTATCTTGAGCCCAACAAGAAGCAAAAATTTGCCTGCTCCTGCAAAGATTGCTGATGGGGAATATGGTGCTTTGAAATCAGAAAATGAGGTGCTAAAATTGTCTTTGACTTTTGAGAGGGATTTGGGAGAGAAATTAGAATCTCGAGTGAATAAACTGACTATTGAGAACGAGTTGCTCAGGGCGGAGGTCAGAGAGCTTAAATTGGTGCTTCCGAGAAGTGATAAGAAACCGCAGTTAAAGAAACAGAACCTGTCGGTAGCCGGGAAACCTCGTTAAGTCGTATCTTATTTCGACACCGAGATTTACAGCAGTGACAGCGAGGATGATGGATGTGTGGACTTTTCAGACACTGAGCGTCAGAGAGCAGGCAGGTTCCAGCCAGGTATTCTTGGAGTGACAGCCCTTTTGCCACCTTGCAATTTTCAAAGAAGCTTGTGTTTTCGAGAAGTACTGCACTCCAGGAAGGCATTATTAACCCTGATAATGCTCATTTATTGCTAGTAGTTGTTACCTTTTTCCCTGCAGAAGTGCAAGCTGAAAAACTGGCACCTCTGCCTTACATGAAGCAGAGCTTTGGTATTGCAAAAGAAAAAAAAAAAAAAGAGCTATACTGCCTGCACTTGAAATTATTTAGGGGCAAAGAAAAAAAAACCAAACAAAACAAACAAAAAAAAACCCCTAGGCATGGGACTTTTGTTTTCCAGAATTGATTTTGACTGACAGTGAAGTGCTAGGTTAACCTGTACCAATCATTATACTATCATGGCAATACTATAATTAGGATTTGTATGAATTTTACAGAAGTGCCTGACTTAGGCAGTAAGTCACGGACATAAGCTGTTATGCAGTGCTGATCTCACAGCAGATCTGGACCACAAATTTGACCTTCCTGGATTTTTTCACAACTCAGGTATGTGATAGTCCCCTGTTCTTGAAGGAGAACCCCATACACAAACAATATATTGCTTGGAAAAACTCTGTATTAGAGATGATGTCCTTCAAGACAGCAAAATTTTGAGTGCCAAATGCAGAGCCACTTTCAGGAATCAAGACAAGAAATATCAACCTAGAAACATTGTCTTCCTGGTTTTGTAATTACATAATTTATATTGGAAATCAGCCGTAATAGAAAATAAACAGCTCATTTTCTTAACAAGAACTTGTCATAAATATTCAGATATTATATGTGATGATCCTTATGGAATTGGAAGAATAATTTTTGTGTTTCAGCCATGCATGATTATCCAGGTATTTTTAGCTACATAGAACCTCCTTCATTAGAAACGTTTCATTATTCCATTAAATTTTTATGCAAAATTTTATCTACTTCTCAAAAAATTGGAAGTGATAGGAAACAGGATTGAAGAGAAGGCTCAGGAGAGTATAACAGTAGCACTTGAGTTCAAATATTTTGCTTGCTAGCACTGACTGCAGTGAAAACAGAAAACATTAGAGGGCAGCTCCAGCAGTCCCTTGGCTGAAGGGTAAAGACACACATTGCATCACACTGAGATTTACTGAGTACCTCTCACAGGTACAGGTGGGCTCCATTACCATTTGTAATGCACTCACAACTACCCTATGGAAAAGGACTCTCGATCTTAATTTACATCTGAAAAAGTGGGAAACAAACTCATGTTTGTTGTGGAGCAAGAACCAGCCCTCTGTGTTCTCTACAACCCAGGCTGTATTTTTCACTAGCAAAGTCAAGATAACCATCTTAAGAGAAGTAAGCTGATGGTTCAGGTACCCCAATAAGATTTGAGAACCTTATACTGTAGAGGTTGTTAATTTGAGGGTTGTTAATGGGCTGCAAACTTTCCCCGGTCTTCTGGTTTCTTTCAATGCTGAGTTTTTTTGTCAAACCCACCTCTTTTCATGAGATGAGCCACCAGCATAGAGAGCCTGTCATGCTTGGATTTTAATCTTGAATTGGCAATGAAATTACTCAAGGCAAGGAAATTGCTCAGTTCTTCATATTACTCTGCCAATGTGATCAGTTGTTGGTGTTTATCAAGGCTTACAGGATCTGGTATGGAATTAGTTTCTTCACTTTATGTTTCAAGAGAAACCCAACAAGACTGAAAACAGCAACTAGAAGCAGATCTCGTCCTGATCTGCAGCTTCCTCATGAGGGGAAGCAGAGGGACAGACACTGGTCTCTCCAGACAGTGACAGGACCCAAGGGAATGGCCTGAAGTTGTGTCAGGGGAGGTTTAGGTTTTATCAGGATAAGATTCCTCCCCCAGAGGGTGGTGGGGCATTGAACAGGCTCCCCAGGGCAGTGGTCACGGCCCCAAGGCTTCCAGATCACAAGGACTGTTTGGACAACCATCTCAGGGACAGGGTGGGATTGTTGGAGTGTCCTGGGCAGGGCCAGGAGTTGGACTGGATGATCCTTGTGGGTCCCTTCCAACTCAGGATATTTTATGATTCTGTGAACTGCCAGGGGCCAACAGCAATAATAAATGATGCTTGAGAAACATGAGATGGAACAGGAGTTGAAGTCATGTTCTCCTGGATGACAAAACAGTCCAGCACTTGGAAAGAAGAGAATCCAGTTACACTTGATCCCTCATCTTGTTATCACCAAAACATGAAAAAAATGGGGAGAAAATGGCATTCTAGATAAGATTTAAAGATTAACCAACTTCGTCCACTCTCATATATCCAGGCTCAGGTGTATATTAATAGAACCTGTTTATAGAACTTAAACTGCAACTTAAACATTTCAGTTTTACCATTAAGACAGCAAACAACAAACACAAAAGCTTAGAGACCACAAAACTGACTCCCCACAGAACCGCTGAAACAACATTTTTGTTATATGGAGATGAAGATGACTGATGTGAAGTGGGATTAACAGGCATGAATCAGTAAGCATATTCCTAATGTTTATTCTAGAGCTTCTGGTAATCTAGCAGCACAGTTTCTTTCAGAATTCAATTGGCATTTAAAGATCTATCTGTCAAAGGAGACAGTTTCATTTAGATTCAGGTTCATTCCTATTCTCAGAACCCGGTTCCCGAAGCTGTATTGGGCCAGCAATAACAATCACACTTTCTAGGCCAGAGCTTGCCTCTCTCTTGGGCCTGTTAATACAGCCTTGGTAGCACCTGGAAGAGTAGTCATAGGCCCTGCACACCACCAGTTCACACCGCAGGTAAACCACTGGGTCGCTCCAAACAAACTGGAAGGCCGCGAATGTAAAGCGCAGGATGTGTTTGTGGGGTGAATAATATGCAGCATAGGTAGAATCTCGAGCACACCTGAAAAGAAGCAAAAAAAAAAATCTCATGAATACACACTGCAGTCAGTCATTTACATGCAATACAACACACGACGTGAGAAGTGATTTCTAAACATAATGAAACTGGGTTTAGAAACCTACGAGCAGAAAAAACAAAATGCCCTTCGTTGGCAGAAATAAACCATGTTACTTCCCCCTCAGGCTGTTGTGTGTCCAGATACATAGTGTTTGTATGTATTTTGAAGGTAAATTAACCTTATCTGAGGTATGTCACTGTTATCTCCTGGATAATAACAATCCATGGTGAACCAGCCGTAGCCACTCAATTTACTTGTCGTTTTAAGCTGTGGGGTATGTGTGTTATATTTTGGGTCAATCCATCCCCTTTTCCCCAGTAAACCCCAAATGCCCTGTTTATTAATTAGAAACTGACCTTAATGTATGCTATATTCACGTTATTCCACTAAATGAATAAAATTTAAAAATGAAAGGGAAAGGGAAAGGGAAAGGGAAAGGGAAAGGGAAAGGGAAAGGGAAAGGGAAAGGGAAAGGGAAAGGGAAAGGGAAAGGGAAAGGGAAAGGGAAAGGGAAAGGGAAAGGGAAAGGGAAAGGGAAAGGGAAAGGAAGGAAAACCAAGACAGATATAGGAGTTCAAAGGCAGTTCTATCTGCAATTGTTATGCATAAGAGCTCACCCATTCCTGATTATATCATAGGTTACTGCCGTAGAGTTATGGGGAGCTGGAGATGCCACACACGTGTCCAGAAATAGCACCAGGTTTGGATCAGAGCTGTGCAGGTAGGCTTGGAGGAACAAGTTCTGGTTCATATGGACATAGTATGGTGAGTCGTACACTGGCCGTGAGAAGTATGAAGAGTCATAAAACGTGAGGTTCACATCATATCTGCTGTACTGAGTTTCATTGACTTCAAAGTTGTTGTCCGCGACGTACATCGTTTGTGCCCACGTGTCCTTGAGCATCTTGCAGTTGACATGCAGGTGAAGATTTCTGTTTCTTGTGATTACAGAACCAGAAGAGGACCCTTTAATAACGTTGGAATAGCTGATTGTGTTGTTGTTTCCCTGTTTGGCGCATAAAAGGCAAAATTAATTCATGTAGTGAGGTACCCTGTTGTACCTTCAAACTTTGCTGTATCCTTACAGCAATGCACACAGTAAAGACATCATTTCCCAGAAAATCTGCCATGGAAAAGTTTGAATCCAGTAATTTCTGTCCTCAAGATAAGAATCTGTAATCTCCATGTGATATACAGTGCCTACAAGATCAGCCTAGAAAACTACTCACATTAAATGCAGACATAACTGAATTAAATATAACCTGTAAAATACTTTAAACATTATAGACACAAAGGTTCAGGTCCAGCACAGTATTTAAGCTAAAATCTGGCTTCAAACCTGATTGGTCATATTTAATGAAAGCTTTGAGACGTTTTTAACCATCACATTTAGCCTGGAACCTTGAAAATACCAAATATTTTCTTTTTTGCACAACTTATTCCTGAAAAGATCGATAACAGGCTATTAGGGAATGCCCTGGCAGCAGATGCAGGAAATACAAAGTGCTAACAAACCTTATGCCTCAGGAGAGGGAGAGGACACTTCCAGTCCCTGCAGACCCCAGTATAGTTTTCAGTTTGTGCTGGTTTTCAAAGCTAATTCTTCTGTTTGAATTATTATACCCTCCCAATATTTGCCCATTTTGTTGGAACATTCATTCCTACCTCTCTGACTGTGCCGCAGCGAGTGTACGGAATGTCGAATACAACAGCCTCTGATGTGATGTTGGGTGTGCAAAGGGGGTCATTCAGGGTGAGATTCCAAGCAGAATAGCCATGGGACTGAAGGAAGTATCTGCTCACAACTACATGCATGTAGTCTGGCAAACACAGCAGTGCTGGTGGATGGCAAAGAAAACATGTTACAACTGTCCCAAAAAAGGTTGGAAGTTGTGAATTAAATTAACAATATCTTTTGAAGAAGCAGCTGATATGACTGAAGAAGTTCAGAATCCAAACTATATACTTGAATCTGTATGAAAATGTTACAGATCTAATTTAAAATAACATGAAATGGGTGAAATTGGTACAACAAGGTTAACAATCAGTGAATTAGCAAATAACTGAGAGGCAATTTTTACTTCTGCTTTAAAGATGAACTTACTAGTGCTTGAATCTGCTATAGTGGAGTAATAGTAGGCCTGAAACCCTCTGTATGTGTATCGAGAGTTGCTGTGGAATCGGACAGTCATCAGGTTTGAGGAGGATGTGTATGTGCGATAATAACCAGAACAGAACTTCCCAAGGAGAGGAGAGGTGTGCAGGGGCCCGTCATAAACTTCTATGTAGTCAGAGAGGCATCTCCCACCTTCCATCCTGGGGAGCAAACATGAATACTTAGTTAAATACTTAATTTTATTTTTTTTTTCACTCAGATTACCTGTTTATAGAAGAAGAGTGCATTTTACTGATGTCACTATCAAATATTTGAGATAGAAATTTAGGTCTCATTAGGTGCCAGCCACATTTTTGACTAAACAAACAAAAATGAACACATTTCTTATCTCAGATGTACTTAAAAGCTTCGAAAACGACCCTTGAAATCAAGTAGGCCTTTGCTTAGTAAGTCCAAGTTGTCAGTCCCATACCTTCATCTTCCCAAGTAATAAATTCTTACTTACTGAATATCTTCAAATCTAAGTGTGACAAGGAAGTTGCTCTTTACTTCTATTTCCCACACACAGTTGGCATTGTTTGGATAATTTTGGGGGTAAAATGGACTCTGTAATCTACCAGATGAAGAGGAAAGCAAGCCACCACAAGAGTAATCTTCTGCAGAGAAAAATATGAGAAGGAAAAGATATGTATACACCATTTAAAGTTGCTTTTGGAATATGCCTACATGGAGTTTATGTCTAAAATTCAGAGGCAATGACTTCTACCAGCTTCTGTGGTCTTTTTATTATGTTCATATACATCTGAATACAGGTTAGGAGATGCTAAACATGCTGAATAGCTTTTATAATACTGATCTTCAGTGTCTGCACTAGCAGGTTATGGATAATGACAAAAAGGAAGGCGAAGAAAAAGATCAAATTTTGTTTCAAAATAAACATGAAGAACTTATGCCACAGTCAAAAAATTGTATGATTTATATACAGATCAGTTGCAGCTTAATCAAATGTCAGGGGAATCAAGATCTAAAAAAGTCTAGTAGTAAAATGAAGTCAAGGATTTCTAGGATACTTTCAAGTGCAAGCTCAAACTATTCCTAGAAAAAAGAAATGTGTAAATGGACAACATCTTTTAAATTATATTCCAAATTAGAAAACAAAATATACATTTATTTCTTTTAACCTAAAGAATGCACAAGACACCTACTCTGGTCTAAGGGACTTTAAATTTTTATTTTAAGTTTCTAGCAAACATTGAAGACCCTTCTCTCACTGGTCCAACGTTCATGATGTGAACGTGAGCCTTTTCCTCTGGGGACCCCCATTAGATGTTCCTTATATGTTCTGCCTGAAGATCAGGAGACACTGTTTCACTGTGAGACTGACTGAGCACATGTATGTTGCCCTCAGAGGTGGTCAACTCTTCATGCTTGAATACAGCCAAAAACCATCTGGACATGGATTTAGGCAGCCAGCTCCAGGTGACATGGCTTTAGGAGGTGGGATAGACCAGATGACCGCTGGAAATTCCCTCCAACACCAATCACCCTCTGAACCATAACTGAAGAGGTCTATTTACTCCTGCCACAAGTCCCCCGAACCTACCTGAGGTTGATGTCACAGTAGTTGTCCAGTTGGAAGTACCTGGTGCTGTAGGGAGAGAGCAGCAAGTGAGAGCACAGCATTTTATCCAAGACCAGGAGACCAGGGCAGGTCATCCCTCCCCAAAGCAAATCCAGGGATACAGGAACACAAACCCCACAGTCAACACTGTCACCTGGTGGGACCCAGCAAGAGCAACCTCAGCCAGCCTGGGACTCTGTGACCCTCAGCAAGGACAGGAGGTCCCAGACCCCTCCAGCCCTGCTGCCCCACCTGAGCTCAGTGACACGGGGGGAGTGGAGCTGGAGCTGCTGGTGCTGCAGACAGAGAGCAGCAGCCACACTTGCTCCTCCACACAGCTGCCACAAGGAGTTCACTGCACTGCATCTAAACGCATCAGCCCTCTTGGGTTTGGGAAAACAAGTGGTTAAGCATGAGCAGGAGCATTGGTCTCTGCAGCAATGAGAGTGCCAGGCCCAAAAAACAGAGGATGGCTCAGTGGCAGCACTGGGGGAGGTGGAGAAAGCCCCATCCTTGCCCACCAGGCAAAGACACAGTGTCTGGCAGTAGTCTCATGGTCGTGCTGTCCAAAAAGATGCCCCCAAGCAATGATGCCCATCAGTTGGCCCATGGGGTCTGGATGCCCACAGGTGTCAGGAGCCATCAGAAGCCCTTTAAGAGAGAGTTTCATCTTCTGCCCTGCCAAAGGGTACAGGAGAGCTCAGGTCTTACCTGCGGTGCTGTTGAAGGCAAGAAATGAGGAGTAGTAGGCCAGGAAACCTCTGCTGGTGATGCTGAAGTCACTGTGAAACAGGACGGTGAGCTGGTGCCCGGAGGACGTGAAGACTCGAGAGGTGTTGGTGCAAACAGTGCCCAGGAGCGGCCCCCCGGGGGACCCGCTGTCAAACACCTCGATGGCATCATAGGAGCAGCTGCTGCCTTCCAGCCTGGCGGGGACAGGGGGCTGTGTGGGCACCGCAGGCTGTGCCGCCTCCCGGCACGAACCCCGAGCCCCGGCTGGAGCTGCAGGGCCCAGCCACCCCAGCCCATCCCCGCCTCACCCCAGGGGTCGGGCACAGCAGCCAAGGCCCTGCAGTGGGCACAAAGCCGCCCCTGAGCCCACAGCCAGCCCCCCCTGCCCAGGACTCACTCCACATCCGAAAAGCGGAGCTCCACTCTGCGGGCCGGGTCCCACAGCTGAATGCGCCACACGCAGCGGGCGTTGTTGGGGTAGGAGTTGGGGTAGCCCGGGCTCTCGATGGAGCCCCACAGACCCTGCAGTAAGCCACCACAGGAGCCTGTCCCTGTGGAGAGGAGCAGAGATCTCTTGGCATCCCATCGCCTGGAGCCGTCAGAGAAAGGCCCCACCAAGGAGGCTCTGCCACAGCCCCACACAGACCCTCCCTCCTGGCCATGGGCCACCACCCCAAACCATCATCCTGGTGGCCCCCAACCAGAGCACGGCTTGTGCTTGGCCTGTGCAGTAACCCCAATCTCTGGGGTTGGCCATCCAACAGGACACCTGGGGCAGGAGATAAGCAGACCCCTTAACCCCTCTGGACCTAAATGTGGTCAATGACACTGGAGGAGATGGAGCTGGAACTATGGGGTGTTACGGGGAGAACTCAGCAGGTGAGTGAGCAACATTTTGTCCAAGAGTAAAACCCAGCTGGCAATCAGCCCTGTCCTAAAGCCAGGGTCCTTCCAGTGCTACCCAGAGAGGGGACAAGAGCTCATGGCACAAAGTGAAACACAGAAGGTTCCTTCTGAACATCAGGAAACACTTTTTCACTGGGAGGGTGACTGAGCACAGGCACAGGTTGCCTACAGAGGTGGTGGACTCTCCATGTTGGATTCAGCCAAAAGACTCCTGGACACATTCCTAGGCAGCAAGCTTTGGGGGACCTGGCTTTAGCAGGTGGACTGGATCAGATGACCTCTGGAAATTCTTTCCAACATTAATCCTCCTGTGATTTATGTGATCCATATCTCCAGGGGTCTGACTACTCCTGTCCCCAGTCCTCTGAACCTACCTGAGGTCGATGTCCCTGTGGTCACCCAGCTGGAATTACCTGGTTCTGTAGGGAGAGAGCAGCAGGTGAACACTCAGCATTTTGCCTAAAAGGAACAGTTTGTCTGGGAGTGACCCCACCCCTAAAGGGACACTGAAACACAGAACCCACAGTCACCACCTGGATCATGGCCTGTCCCTGTGTGGCTGCACCTCCAAGCCTTCCCTCTCCATCCCACCAGCCCAGAGTACAGCTTGTGTTCTGCATGTGCAAGAGCTCCCATCAGCAGGGCCTCCATCATCTTTCTTGATTGTTAGTTGTTGGGGTGATGGGACAGAGCAGACTCTCAACAAGTTTGCCCATGACACCAAACTGGGAAGAGTGGCTGGTCAAGCAGAAGGTTCTGCTGCCATGCAGAGGGACCTCAACAGGCTGGAGAAATGGCCTGACAGGAACATCATTCAGGACAAGAAGGACAGGTACCAAGTGCTGCTCCTGGGAAAAAACAACCCAACACACCAACAGGCACTGAGGGCCACCCATCTGGGAGACAACTCTCCAGAATAGGCCTTGGTGAGCACCAAATTCAGATGGAGCCAGCAATGGGTTAGCAGGGGCTGTTGAGCTGGATGACTGCCAGAGGTCTCTTCCAACCTCAGTCATGCTGTGATTGTAAGGCCAAGAAACAACCAGACCCCCAAACCCCTCTACACTTAATGATGCTCAGAGACACAGGGGGAGTCCAGCTGGAACTACTTCATGCTGTAGGGAGAGAGCAGCAAGTGAGAGCACAGCATTTTATCCAAGACCAGGAGACCAGGGCAGGTCATCCCTCCCCAAAGCAAATCCAGGGATACAGGAACACAAACCCCACAGTCAACACTGTCACCTGGTGGGACCCAGCAAGAGCAACCTCAGCCAGCCTGGGACTCTGTGACCCTCAGCAGGGACAGGAGGTCCCAGACCCCTCCAGCCCTGCTGCCCCACCTGAGCTCAGTGACACGGGGGGAGTGGAGCTGGAGCTGCTGGTGCTGCAGACAGAGAGCAGCAGCCACACTTGCTCCTCCACACAGCTGCCACAAGGAGTTCACTGCACTGCATCTAAACGCATCAGCCCTCTTGGGTTTGGGAAAACAAGTGGTTAAGCATGAGCAGGAGCATTGGTCTCTGCAGCAATGAGAGCGCCAGGACCAAGTAACTGCTCTGCCTTCAGTATAGGCCCAAAAAACAGAGGATGGCTCAGTGGCAGCACTGGGGGAGGTGGAGAAAGCCCCATCCTTGCCCACCAGGCAAAGAAACAGTGTCTGGCAGCAGCCTCATGGTCGTGCTGTCCAAAATGATGCCCCCAAGCAATGATGCCCATCAGTTGGCCCATGGGGTCTGGATGCCCATAGGTGTCAGGAGCCATCAGAAGCCCTTTAAGAGAGAGTTTCATCTTCTGCCCTGCCAAAGGGTACAGGAGAGCTCAGGTCTTACCTGCGGTGCTGTTGAAGGCAAGAAACGAGGAGTAGTAGGCCAGGAAACCTCTGCTGGTGATGCTGAAGTCACTGTGAAACAGGACGGTGAGCTGGTGCCCGGAGGACGTGAAGACTCGAGAGGTGTTGGTGCAAACAGTGCCCAGGAGTGGCCCCCCAAGGGGCCCACCGTCGAACACCTCGATGGCATCGTAGGAGCAGTTGCTGCCTTCCAGCCTGGCGGGGACAGGGGGCTGTGTGGGCACCGCAGGCTGTGCCGCCTCCCGGCACGAGCCCTGATTCCCGGCTGGAGCTGCAGGGCCCAGCCACCCCAGCCCATCCCCGCCTCACCCCAGGGGTCGGGCACAGCAGCCAAGGCCCCGCAGTGGGCACAAAGCCGCCCCTGAGCCCACAGCCAGCCCCCCCTGCCCAGGACTCACTCCACATCCGAAAAGCGGAGCTCCACTCTGCGGGCCGGGTCCCACAGCTGAATGCGCCACACGCAGCGGGTGTTGTTGGGGTAGGAGTTGGGGTAGCCCGGGCTCTCGATGGAGCCCCACAGACCCTGCAGTAAGCCACCACAGGAGCCTGTCCCTGTGGAGAGGAGCAGAGATCTCTTGGCATCCCATCGCCTGGAGCCGTCAGAGAAAGGCCCCACCAAGGAGGCTCTGCCACAGTCCCACACAGACCCTCCCTCCTGGGCATGGGCCACCACCCCAAACCATCATCCTGGTGTCCCCCCAACCAGAGCACGGCTTGTGCTCGGCCTGTGCAGTAACCCCAATCTCTGGGGTTGGCCATCCAACAGCACACCTGGGGCAGGAGATAAGCAGACCCCTTAACCCCTCTGGACCTAAATGTGGTCAATGACACTGGAGGAGATGGAGCTGGAACTGTGGGGTGCTGTGGGGAGAACTCAGCAGGTGAGTGAGCAGCATTTTGTCCAAGAGGAAAACCCAGCTGGCAATCAACCCTGTCCTAAAGCCAGGGTCCTTCCAGTGCTGCCCAGAGAGGGGACAAGAGCTCATGGCACAAAGTGAAGCACAGAAGGTTCCTTCTGAACATGAGGAAACACTTTTTCACTGGGAGGGTGACTGAGCACAGGCACAGGTTGCCCACAGAGGTGGTAGAGTCTCCATGTTGGATTCAGCCAAAAGACTCCTGGACACACTCCTAGGCAGCAAGCTTTGGGGGACCTGGCTTTAGCAGGTGGACTGGATCAGATAACCTCTGGAAATTCTTTCCAACATTAATCCTCCTGTGATTTATGTGATCCATAACCCCAGGGGTCTGACTACTCCTGCCCCCAGTCCTCTGTACCTACCTGAGGTCGATGTCCCTGTGGTCACCCAGCTGGAATTACCTGGTTCTGTAGGGAGAGAGCAGCAGGTGAACACTCAGCATTTTGCCTAAAAGGAACAGTTTGTCTGGGAGTGACCCCACCCCTAAAGGGACACTGAAACACAGAACCCACAGTCACCACCTGGATCATGGCCTGTCCCTGTGTGGCTGCACCTCCAAGCCTTCCCTCTCCATCCCACCAGCCCAGAGTACAGCTTGTGTTCTGCATGTGCAAGAGCTCCCATCAGCAGGGCCTCCATCATCTTTCTTGATTGTTAGTTGTTGGGGTGATGGGACAGAGCAGACTCTCAACAAGTTTGCCCATGACACCAAACTGGGAAGAGTGGCTGGTCAAGCAGAAGGTTCTGCTGCCATGCAGAGGGACCTCAACAGGCTGGAGAAATGGTCTGACAGGAACATCATGCAGGACAATAAGGACAGGTGCCAAGTGCTGCTCCTGGGAAAGAACAACCCAACACACCAGCAGGCACTGAGGGCCACCCATCTGGGAAACAACTCTCCAGAACAGGTCCTGGTGAGCACCAAGTTCAGATGGAGCCAGCAATGGGTTAGCAGGGGCTGTTGAGCTGGATGACTTCCAGAGGTCTCTTCCAAACTCAGCCATGCTGTGATTGTAAGGCCAAGAAACAACCAGACCCCCAAACCCCTCTACACTTAATGATGCTCAGAGACACAGGGGGAGTCCAGCTGGAACTACTTCATGCTGTAGGGAGAGAGTAGCAAGTGAGAGCACAGCATTTTACCCAAGACCAGGAGACCAGGGCAGGTCATCCCTCCCCAAAGCAAATCCAGGGATACAGGAACACAAACCCCACAGTCAACACTGTCACCTGGTGGGACCCAGCAAGAGCAACCTCAGCCAGCCTGGGACTCTGTGACCCTCAGCAGGGACAGGAGGTCCCAGACCCCTCCAGCCCTGCTGCCCCACCTGAGCTCAGTGACACGGGGGGAGTGGAGCTGGAGCTGCTGGTGCTGCAGACAGAGAGCAGCAGCCACACTTGCTCCTCCACACAGCTGCCACAAGGAGTTCACTGCACTGCATCTAAACGCATCAGCCCTCTTGGGTTTGGGAAAACAAGTGGTTAAGCATGAGCAGGAGCATTGGTCTCTGCAGCAATGAGAGCGCCAGGACCAAGTAACTACTCTGCCTTCAGTATAGGCCCAAAAAACAGAGGATGGCTCAGTGGCAGCACTGGGGGAGGTGGAGAAAGCCCCATCCCTGCCCACCAGGCAAAGACACAGTGTCTGGCAGTAGTCTCATGGTCGTGCTGTCCAAAAAGATGCCCCCAAGCAATGATGCCCATCAGTTGGCCCATGGGGTCTGGATGCCCATAGGTGTCAGGAGCCATCAGAAGCCCTTTAAGAGAGAGTTTCATCTTCTGCCCTGCCAAAGGGTACAGGAGAGCTCAGGTCTTACCTGCGGTGCTGTTGAAGGCAAGAAATGAGGAGTAGTAGGCCAGGAAACCTCTGCTGGTGATGCTGAAGTCACTGTGAAACAGGACGGTGAGCTGGTGCCCGGAGGACGTGAAGACTCGAGAGGTGTTGGTGCAAACAGTGCCCAGGAGCGGCCCCCCAAGGGGCCCACCGTCGAACACCTCGATGGCATCGTAGGAGCAGTTGCTGCCTTCCAGCCTGGCGGGGACAGGGGGCTGTGTGGGCACCGCAGGCTGTGTCGCCTCCCGGCACGAACCCCGAGCCCCGGCTGGAGCTGCAGGGCCCAGCCACCCCAGCCCATCCCCGCCTCACCCCAGGGGTCGGGCACAGCAGCCAAGGCCCTGCAGTGGGCACAAAGCCGCCCCTGAGCCCACAGCCAGCCCCCCCTGCCCAGGACTCACTCCACATCCGAAAAGCGGAGCTCCACTCTGCGGGCCGGGTCCCACAGCTGAATGCGCCACACGCAGCGGGCGTTGTTGGGGTAGGAGTTGGGGTAGCCCGGGCTCTCGATGGAGCCCCACAGACCCTGCAGTAAGCCACCACAGGAGCCTGTCCCTGTGGAGAGGAGCAGAGATCTCTTGGCATCCCATCGCCTGGAGCCGTCAGAGAAAGGCCCCACCAAGGAGGCTCTGCCACAGTCCCACACAGACCCTCCCTCCTGGGCATGGGCCACCACCCCAAACCATCATCCTGGTGTCCCCCCAACCAGAGCACGGCTTGTGCTCGGCCTGTGCAGTAACCCCAATCTCTGGGGTTGGCCATCCAACAGCACACCTGGGGCAGGAGATAAGCAGACCCCTTAACCCCTCTGGACCTAAATGTGGTCAATGACACTGGAGGAGATGGAGCTGGAACTGTGGGGTGCTGTGGGGAGAACTCAGCAGGTGAGTGAGCAGCATTTTGTCCAAGAGGAAAACCCAGCTGGCAATCAACCCTGTCCTAAAGCCAGGGTCCTTCCAGTGCTGCCCAGAGAGGGGACAAGAGCTCATGGCACAAAGTGAAGCACAGAAGGTTCCTTCTGAACATGAGGAAACACTTTTTCACTGGGAGGGTGACTGAGCACAGGCACAGGTTGCCCACAGAGGTGGTAGAGTCTCCATGTTGGATTCAGCCAAAAGACTCCTGGACACACTCCTAGGCAGCAAGCTTTGGGGGACCTGGCTTTAGCAGGTGGACTGGATCAGATAACCTCTGGAAATTCTTTCCAACATTAATCCTCCTGTGATTTATGTGATCCATAACCCCAGGGGTCTGACTACTCCTGCCCCCAGTCCTCTGTACCTACCTGAGGTCGATGTCCCTGTGGTCACCCAGCTGGAATTACCTGGTTCTGTAGGGAGAGAGCAGCAGGTGAACACTCAGCATTTTGCCTAAAAGGAACAGTTTGTCTGGGAGTGACCCCACCCCTAAAGGGACACTGAAACACAGAACCCACAGTCACCACCTGGATCATGGCCGGTCCCTGTGTGGCTGCACCTCCAAGCCTTCCCTCTCCATCCCACCAGCCCAGAGTACAGCTTGTGTTCTGCATGTGCAAGAGCTCCCATCAGCAGGGCCTCCATCATCTTTCTTGATTGTGAGTTGTTGGGGTGATGGGACAGAGCAGACTCTCAACAAGTTTGCCCATGACACCAAACTGGGAAGAGTGGCTGGTCAAGCAGAAGGTTCTGCTGCCATCCAGAGGGATCTCAACAGGCTGGAGAAATGGTCTGACAGGAACATCATGCAGGACAAGAAGGACAGGTGTCAAGTGCTGCTCCTGGGAAAGAACAACCCAACACACCAGCAGGCACTGAGGGCCACCCATCTGGGAGACAACTCTCCAGAATAGGCCTTGGTGAGCACCAAATTCAGATGGAGCCAGCAATGGGTTAGCAGGGGCTTTTGAGCTGGATGACTTCCAGAGGTCCCTTCCAAACTCAGCCATTCTGTGACTGTGTGACTCTGAGTAAGGCCAAGAGATAACCAGACCCCCAAACCCCTCTACACTTAATGATGCTCAGCGACATGGGGGGAGTCCAGCTGGAACTACTTCATGCTGTAGGGAGAGAGCAGCAAGTGAGAGCACAGCATTTTACCCAAGACCAGGAGACCAGGGCAGGTCATCCCTCCCCAAAGCAAATCCAGGGATACAGGAACACAAACCCCACAGTCAACACTGTCACCTGGTGGGACCCAGCAAGAGCAACCTCAGCCAGCCTGGGACTCTGTGACCCTCAGCAGGGACAGGAGGTCCCAGACCCCTCCAGCCCTGCTGCCCCACCTGAGCTCAGTGACACGGGGGGAGTGGAGCTGGAGCTGCTGGTGCTGCAGACAGAGAGCAGCAGCCACACTTGCTCCTCCACACAGCTGCCACAAGGAGTTCACTGCACTGCATCTAAACGCATCAGCCCTCTTGGGTTTGGGAAAACAAGTGGTTAAGCATGAGCAGGAGCATTGGTCTCTGCAGCAATGAGAGTGCCAGGCCCAAAAAACAGAGGATGGCTCAGTGGCAGCACTGGGGGAGGTGGAGAAAGCCCCATCCTTGCCCACCAGGCAAAGACACAGTGTCTGGCAGTAGTCTCATGGTCGTGCTGTCCAAAAAGATGCCCCCAAGCAATGATGCCCATCAGTTGGCCCATGGGGTCTGGATGCCCACAGGTGTCAGGAGCCATCAGAAGCCCTTTAAGAGAGAGTTTCATCTTCTGCCCTGCCAAAGGGTACAGGAGAGCTCAGGTCTTACCTGCGGTGCTGTTGAAGGCAAGAAATGAGGAGTAGTAGGCCAGGAAACCTCTGCTGGTGATGCTGAAGTCACTGTGAAACAGGACGGTGAGCTGGTGCCCGGAGGACGTGAAGACTCGAGAGGTGTTGGTGCAAACAGTGCCCAGGAGCGGCCCCCCAAGGGGCCCACCGTCGAACACCTCGATGGCATCGTAGGAGCAGTTGCTGCCTTCCAGCCTGGCGGGGACAGGGGGCTGTGTGGGCACCGCAGGCTGTGCCGCCTCCCGGCACGAACCCCGAGCCCCGGCTGGAGCTGCAGGGCCCAGCCACCCCAGCCCATCCCCGCCTCACCCCAGGGGTCGGGCACAGCAGCCAAGGCCCCGCAGTGGGCACAAAGCCGCCCCTGAGCCCACAGCCAGCCCCCCCTGCCCAGGACTCACTCCACATCCGAAAAGCGGAGCTCCACTCTGCGGGCTGGGTCCCACAGCTGAATGCGCCACACGCAGCGGGCGTTGTTGGGGTAGGAGTTGGGGTAGCCCGGGCTCTCGATGGAGCCCCACAGACCCTGCAGTAAGCCACCACAGGAGCCTGTCCCTGTGGAGAGGAGCAGAGATCTCTTGGCATCCCATCGCCTGGAGCCGTCAGAGAAAGGCCCCACCAAGGAGGCTCTGCCACAGTCCCACACAGACCCTCCCTCCTGGGCATGGGCCACCACCCCAAACCATCATCCTGGTGTCCCCCCAACCAGAGCACGGCTTGTGCTCGGCCTGTGCAGTAACCCCAATCTCTGGGGTTGGCCATCCAACAGCACACCTGGGGCAGGAGATAAGCAGACCCCTTAACCCCTCTGGACCTAAATGTGGTCAATGACACTGGAGGAGATGGAGCTGGAACTGTGGGGTGCTGTGGGGAGAACTCAGCAGGTGAGTGAGCAGCATTTTGTCCAAGAAGAAAACCCAGCTGGCAGTCAGCCCTGTCCTAAAGCCAGGGTCCTTCCAGTGCTGCCCAGAGAGGGGACAAGAGCTCATGGCACAAACACAGAAGGTTCCTTCTGAACATCAGGAAACACTTTTTCACTGGGAGGGTGACTGAGCACAGGCACAGGTTGCCCACAGAGGTGGTGGACTCTCCATCCTAGGAGATAGCCAAAAGCCACCTGATCATGGCCTTGAGCAATCAGCTCCAGGCAACCCTGCTTTAGCCAGGGCTTAGGACCCCATTACTCCAGAAGTCCCTTCCAACCTCAACCATCCTGTAATTCTGTGAAGGCAGAAGCTAGTCAGACCCCATAACCCCTCTGGACATACCTGTGGTCCATGGTATGGGGGGCGTCACGCTGAAGATAGCTCTCACTGCAGGGAGAGAGCAGGAAGTGAGAGTGCAGTGCTTTGCCTAAGAGGATCACCCTGCTGGGAGACCCCCCTATCCAAGGGGAACCCCAGGACAGTGAAACCCGAAAGCCACAGTGGTCACTGTAATGAGGCAGGACTGAGCAGCTGCAGTGTCATCTGCCCCAGCACCTGCTCAAGGGCATCCCCACTGTGGCACCATGAAGACCAGTGCAAAACCTCTCCCCCTGAAGAAGTGGTTGCTCAGTCACAAAGGATCCCAAATAATCCTGAACCATCCTGAGCATCAGGGATGTTACCCTGGGTCTGTAAGTGCAGCCCACATTTGGGTCTTCTACTCTGATGAACACAGAGCGTCCCAGAGGCAGAACAACCCATGGAAAAGTAGTATATAAATAGAAATCTATGGTTACCTGCTCGTCGAGGTACTGTTAGTCCTGAGTCTGCAAAGAGAGAAAACCAGAGGGTGTGAGGCACTCAGATTCCTCATCTCCTCTCAGAGTACATACTATAATCTCATGAAGAGCTATGAAAGGATCCATGGGGAGGATGGCCTGGCTAAAACCCATCATCCTCCTCAGTCTGCACAGGAGCAGTCTGCAAAATCCCAGACATCCTGAGCACAGTCTACAAGTGCAGAAGAGTGCTCCCTCTGAAATATGGACCCCTGCATCAGGGATGTGGACCTACGACCCTCTGCTGCCCTGCAGAGCACAGAGCAAGGGTTGGACAAGCTTCACCCAGCCTCACACAAACACCACGTGGGTTTTCTTCAGGAAACTGCCCCCAAAACACAAAAACCCACCTGAGCATATGACAGAAGCATCTCCATGATGACAGACATAGTACTGGTAGCTGTAGGGGCACTGCAACAAATTGTCTTCATACCCTGCACAATTCACCTCCGTGATGAAGTACGGGTATGAGTCGCTCGAAGGGAAATTGTGCATCACTCCAAGGGGTGATCCGCAGCTAAGCTGCCTGCACACAACCTCAGCATCTTCCATGTTCCACAGGTATCCACACACCTTCTCCCAGCTTCCAAGGAACTGGATTTCCACGTTGCCTGCGCAGCGGTTCGGCCCACCACTCAGCCTCAGCCTAGACCTCGGCTCTTGGAGAGACACAAACCCCTGTGTCAGGCCAGTAGTGCTCTGGGCTCAGGCAGTGGCATTGGACAGGAGAGCACAGGCTCCCACATCCTCTCCGGGCACCCATCTGCACCCACAGCACAGTTCAGGGCTGGCAGCCCCTGCTTGGCCTCCCATGCTGAGGGACAGACAGGCTGGGCCAGCAGCAGGTCCCATCCCCGTGCCCAGGGCCACCAGAAGGGCCTTGGCAGACACACTCACCGTCATCTGGAACTGGAACTGTGGAGGAGAACAAGCAGGGAGAAAAACACAAAGAGAGCAAACGAATTAGGACAAATTTTCTGTAAGCTGTCAGTGCTCTCTACCCTTTCCCCAGCGAGTCACGTTCCCAGTGAAGGGCACAAGTGATAGATCTTTTTATTTCTAGCAAGGAGGCTGGTTGCTGGAGGGCAGAGCCATCCCTGAGTTCCTGGCTCCTGGATAATTTACTTCTTGCATACATCTCTGGTCCCACCCTAGGGCAAGCATGAGCTTTTTCATCATCATAATTTGTTCCCAAGAATAAATACTATGATAAAAACACAAAGCTATCACTATCATGTGAAGTAATAATCTAGTAAATTCTACTTACAACTCATGGGGTCAAGTGTTGTCGGGGGACGTAGTGCTTCTTCTAGAGAAGAAAAAAACGTGGATGATATCATATGTGAAGGCCAAAAAGACAAATATGATACGAAACTTCCTCAAACCCTGTTTCAGTCTCCAGGAATTAGTGGCCAACAAATTTTAGATCTAGGAGATTTCTTTTAATTTTAGTAAATCACAGCAGTTTTTCCTTCCATTAGCCATCAAATCTCATCGTGAATCCACCAAAAACCTGCAACTGACCCGGAGAGTGCCAAGTGCCCCTGAAGTCAGACCAGTTTTCTCAGGGTACCCAGCCCCCTGAGCTGGAAGACAGGGATAGGGAGCAGAATGAAGCCCCCAAAATCCAAGAGGTAATTGTCAGAGACACCCACAAATCTATGGGGGTGGATGGGATCCACCCAAGGGAGATGGAGGGGCTCAGCCTAGAGAAGAGAAGGCTCAGGAGGGGGACCTTATTGCTCTCTACAACTACCTGGAAGGAGATTGTAGCCAGGTGGGGGTCAGTCCCTTCTCAGAAGTAACAAGTGATAGGACAAGAGGAAATAGCCTCAAGTTGGGCCAGGGGAGGTTTAGATTGGAGATCAGGGAAAAGGTTGTCAAGCCCTGGAACGGGCTGTCCAGGGCAGTGGTGGGGTCACTGTCCCTGAAGGGATTTAAAAGATATGTAAAAGATGTATAGGGGTAAATGTGTGGGCCATGGCTTAGTGGTGGGCTTGGTAGTGCAGGGTTACTGGCTGGACTCCATGATCCAAGAGGTGTTTTCAAACTTTAACAATTCTCTGATTCTCTCTGCTGGTTTCACCTGATCCGATCAGAAGCTGATGGCTCTGCTACTGGCATGAGAATAGGCTGTGAACAACTGCCTCTCCCTCCCTTTCTCCAAACCAAAGAAGGACAAAAATCCTAACAGAAATGAAGGTGACACAAAATATCTGGGGAGATGGTCAGAGCAAGGCCAGTGGCAAGGGAGGCTGCATATCCAAAAGCTCCCTGTCACAGGTTCTGCTCACGGTCCCACTGCATCTAAGCTTCTCTCATTCCCTTCCGCTCCCAACAGCACTGATTTCATCAATACCGTGCTGCTGACTGCCGCTGGAGTCAGTAACTCGGTCAAAGAAGGGTTTTCCTTGCTAAGGTTCCTGTACAGCTGATGGAAAGCCTCCAGGTGGCACTAAGAGATCGAGGGCGTCCCGTAGGACAGGGCTCTGACACCCGGGGAAAGGTGATCTCCTTCCCAGTGCTTCTGTGATCAGGTGACAGCACCAAACATATCAAAATTTATAAACATAATCCAAATTAATAAGGGCATTTCATGTGAGTGCTGCTCTGTCTCTGTATAGGTCATTGGGAAATGGTGTACAAACCTGTCTTCAATAAAAAATTTGTCTGTGCAAACTGTGGATAACTTTGCTCTGGGCTTTCAGATACTCAGAAACTGCTGCATTTATACAGGCTCTGTTTTTTAACGTGGCATTGTGATCCCAAGGTTTTAGCCCAAGGACTGACTTAATCAAGCTTTTCATTGCAGTGATGGCTCTCATTCCTCCTCTGAGAAGAAGGACACACATTCACTTATATGCTGCATTTTAAGTGCATGTGTGTACTACCATATAGATTCTGTATGGGTGCATTCAGACATGGGAGCCCAGTCTGAAGGATACTGAGCCCCTGACTAAGCTGGTGGGTTGGCTACATCGGCTACAACTAAACTAGAACAGTTCTCAGATGCAATCAACAGCCTGGAGAGAATATTTAGCAATGCCGATTCTATAAAAAATGTGCACTTTTATATAATTTTAAAATTACCTGTTGTTAGAGGCCCTTCTGGTTCAGCATCTCCTGTTGTCCAAGCTGCAGACAGTGTCAACACAAGCAAAAACAACAACAACAAATTGAAGAACATTACATGAATTAAGTAATAAGGACGGGAATTTGCACGCACAGGAACCCCTGGTGGCATTGGCAAAGGGATGTCAGATGTTTTTCAAGGGAGTGGGTTAGATGGTGATAAAAATCCTTCTCTATGGACAACCTGATAGGTGGGAATATGCCCTCACTGGTTAATATCATGTATCATAAAACTTATTGTCTCTCAAACTCACAGTTTATTTATTTAAAGTGATTTCTGGATGCAGAAGAGCCTAACAAGGACATGTGTAATGTTTTCAGTTATTAGGGCACTTTACAATGCATCCCACCACACTGCTCCTCATGCATGCAAGGCTTTAACCCTGAATTAATTAGATGGTAATGAAAGGATTAAACGGTAACTCAATATTTTCCAGCTGAACATCAACATCCCAGCTTAGTTTTCAGCATTACTAATTGCACCTCAAATATTTTTGGAAGGAGTAAATAACAAGGGCATTAAAAACTTGAGGAAATAGCCTTGAATGGTTATTTCTTTCCACCGTGTATGCGGGAGCACAGAAAGGGAAAGCAGGTTTTTGTTTTTGGTTCATTAGTCCAAGCCAAGTTCATTCCAGAATTTTACACCTGGAAGAGGAAGGGATGGAAAGACAGCAGCTGTGCCAACACCTTTGATGTTTTTCCATTCTACCCTCCTGCATAAAGAATGCAACAGCAGCTGCTTAAAAAGAAATGCCTTGTCTCTCCCAGCACCATGCTGGCACTCTGCTCAGCCAGGGAAACCTCACCTGAAAAATGGGAAAGTGTGTTTTGAACACATAAAGACTATTTTACCCTGTTGGAAACATCCTCCCTACCATCAGATCCCCCAATGCCACTGTTAGCAAATCAAATTACACTTGTAAGAGGAATTAGCCTGTGAGAAATTAGAATTAAAAAAAAAAAAATACAGTAATTCCTATTATATTCTAGTTACTACAACAATGATAGCATAGGGACATGTCCATACTTCTTTCATCTGGGGCACTCTGTTATTAAACACCAATGTGTTGGTCATACCAATGTATCTAATCAAATACCAATTCCGTGGTTCAAAGTGCACCTCTTTAAAATAAACATATCTTTAGTCCAGAAAATACTTATTAGTCTTTAAATCCATTACCCCAGCATAAAGAATTGGAAATTTATATCATTGGCTTTACAGTATATTCATTTGATTTTATTTTACTGGGCTCTTTACAAAAATGGTGAGAAAAAAATTAAATTCATTAAGCAGTTTCTATAAAGTTGATTTGCTCGGCTCATAGCTTTTACCTGCTCATGGTTTTCAAAAGAACTAAGCTGTGCTGGTAAATCCTCTTTTACCCTTAAATCTCAGCATTACCCTGAGGTGAAATATAGCCACGGAGGTGATCAGAATTGAGACTTGTTACCTGCATCCAGCTGAATTTGAAGACTTATCATCACCATCCAAGACAAGATCATGGTGGCAGCCATCTCCTTGGAGCTCCTGGTACAGGAGGGCACCAGAATTTATAGGCAGGGACTACACTAAAGGGTGTAGCTCAGCAGCCCAATCTCTCGCTTCAGTAGGTCAACACCACATTCTCCACTGCTCTCACTTCCCTAACTTCCATGTTTGATTTGTTAATCAGGATTTATAGCTTCCTGGTTCTGCAAGACACCACCTGACATCTAATTCAGGGGCAGCAGAGATCAAAAGTGGTTGCAGTAGCTGCTGTTTTTCCCTCCCATCCCTCTCTGGCTTTGAAGTTCAGTTGTGGTCGGTTATGTAACACGTCCCTTTCTTGCTCTTAGGTTTGAGCTGAATCTGAGCCAAAGCTGTTTTTTAAGGCGGTGTAGAAGAGCTTTCCTTTTTGGGACTGCACATGTGGAAGGGTAAGAACTTGGTGGGAAACAATCGAGGGGCTTATGGAGACCCTTCGTACTGGCCTGGGCTCTGGTTCACCCACCCACTGCTGGGAGGGCATCAGACAGAGACAACCATCATGTCTTCAGTCCCTTAACGTTGTTGTGAAGGTGCAGTTTCAGGGACTGAGTCAAATCATTAAGGTTGGACAAGCCCTCCAAGGTCATTGAGTCCAACTGTCAACACCGACACTGTATCCCCCAAGTGCACACCCACATGATTTTTTAACACTTCCAGGGATGGTGATTCCACCAGTTCTCTGGGCATCCTGTTCCAATGCTTGGCAACCCTTTTGTGAAGGAATTTTTCCTAGTATCCAACCTAAACATCCCCTGGCACAATCTCACACCATTCCCTCTTGTCCTTTTATCACACCTAACTTACCATCATGAATTTCTCAAATATTAGTTAC